AAACAGAAATTTGTTAGGTCTTCTGGTATATTTGGTCCAGGACTTAATGAAATAGTCTATTCTCTTTTGTGGTCAAATATTACTGATTTACTTTACATTTAATAAATTATATTAAAAAATAAAGAAAAGCTGGAATAAACCAATTTTGGGACCAAACACTACTGACTCCCAGTGAACGTGCGAAGTACCTAACTATGCAGGACGGGCGGCTGCCAACGTTAATCACGTATGGGCATTTGGAAATGAAGAATGACTCATGCAATGGGTTTTCTAAGTGGAATTCAGTCTAGAAAGCTTTAGTAAGAATCTTTAAAACTTGTCCTTATGGTTAATACAATTGAAGTTAATTAATCTTTCTTTAATTGTTTCAGTGTTTCTAAAATATTGAAGACTATTTCAGAAAATCTATATTCACTGAAGAAGGTGATACTTGACCCTACAAACATTGAGAATAAACTGAAGCCGGGCAGTTCTTTTAACTTGTCATCAGACCATCCAGCTGTGATTGGAGAACAGCAAAAGCAAATTGGAGAACATAGGACTTTTACTACAGTTAAAGAGGAGGCATGGGACCCCACATTTGATAATTCAGTTAAACACAATGGAGTTGATGTATTTGGGAATAAAGTGAAGCAGGAAGAAGGTGAATTTGAAGATGGAGTAGAAGACAATCTGTTGAAAGAAAATATGGAGGGAACTTGTTTGATGTCATTAGATATTTCAGAATATGAACTCCAAATTTTGGAACAACAGGCTGAAAGAAAAACTTGCAATGATACATCTTCTCAATCTGCTGAGGTACTAAATCAAGAGGAAGCATTTTATCAGTGGTTGGCTGACTTTTTTGTGTAAGCAGGCACACGGTAGATGTTTAGGCTCTATGGGCTAAATAGTCTCTGTTGCAGCTATTCAGTTCTGCTGTTGTATTACAAAAGCAGCCATAGACAAATGTAAACACACATGTCTTCTGTGCTTCAATAAAACTTTATTGACAAAGACAGTGGGCCACCCTAACTTGTGAGCCCTACTTTGTTGTTTCCAACATAATATGATAAACAACATTGTATAGTAGAAAGATTTTATTAGATTGTAAACAGACCTTTGTTGAAATGTGTTACTTTACTATTTCTTATGGTTTTTACATAATAGATAATAGCTTTTTTGTTGATTATTTGCAAATGTTTATTCTTTTAAACTTGATTTTTGGGGATAGGTTTTATTTCTTCTAATAGAAATTATTTGCTAGGATGAGTTTACTGTCTTCTGGAGAGTCAGTGAGCTACAGTTTCTTAATTTCCATTTGCTTGCACATTACTGAAGATACTCATTCTCTTGAATTTTCTTCAGTTATTTTTTAGATTTTGAAGCTATTGAATAGGATTATTTCTAATTTTGTTATAGAAATGAAAGTCTCATTATTGGATAACTTCTTTGAGTTTTCCTTTTTTTCAACTTTCATTTTTTCTTCTTTTTTAATTTTAAAAATATTTATTGAGGATTTCATACATGCATAGAAGGTGTGTTGATCAAATCCACGCCCACTCCCTCCCCTCCAACGCCTCCCATATCTCCCCATCACTTTTTTCTGACAAGTTCGTGTGCCTCGTTCTTTCTTGCTTGCTTGCTCTCTCTCTCTTTCTTCTTTCCTTTCTTTCTTTTTATTTCTTTCCCCTCTTTCTTGGCTTTTTGCTACCTCTGAAGAGGTAACCCTAAACTTTTTTAGGGATTAGGTAAGCACTCCCAAACACTTTTGACATTTTGGTCTTTGGAACAGAGTGTGATGCTAAGAGGCTCAAGGACATTTTAACTTTTAGCCAAGAAACTGGCTACTTTTCTTTGGGGTCTTTTTTTACCCTAACTGCCTAGCCAGTTCCTACCTCCTATCCTTACCATACCATCCTCTGAAGAGGTTACCCAAATTGCCAATAGGGAATCAGGATGCAGACCGCTCTGGCTTCTTTCATGCTGAACAGGGACAACAAGGTAAGGCAGTGGAAAAGAAAATCCTTGACTAGTGCCTAGGAGATGTGAAGGAGAAGTAAAGACAAGAGTAGTTAGCATTACAAGTCCTAGACAGGGAACCAGAAAAAATTCAGAACAGGGCAAATTTCAAATGTTCATATCAGAGTCCATTGGGATTTCTTGATGAGAGCTTCCAAAAGCATTCCTCTATTGGGCCATCCTCATTTTTCTTTTGTCTGCCAAGGCTGGACACGAGAGTGATGGACTCAGGGTTTGTTTTCAGGCATTTTGATAGCTGTTGGAGTGGCTAGAATCAGTGTCAGTTCCCTGTCAAAAGTTTCTAGATAGGGGGAGCAAACAAATTTAGCCATCATTTTAGAATAATAGTGGGTAATCTCCCTTAGCTACAGGTGGGCACTACAGTATTGCAGACCAAGATTTGAAGTCTTACATCTGAGCAGCACTTTCTGCTTAGAAACAGAATCATCAATGAGAAATAAATCAGTAGGATATGCTGAAGAGTTTTTAAAAGCTATTTTGGCAATCATTTCTTTTGAGTATGTAAATGTATTTTTTAATTGTTTTCAGAATATTCCCATTTCAGTTTGTGAATCAGGGTTTTTCTTTAGAAAATACTATCTTTTGCTCATGTGCATTATGCTAATTCTATAGAAATTTTAGAAAGATTTATGTGTATTATGTTTGTGTATACACAGACACAGACACAGACACACGCATGCACCGTGCTACTAATGCTGGATCCCACAGGGGCCAGACCAGACCAGACCAGCCTGATTTAGACCAGACCAGACTGATTTAGACCAGTTTAGACCAGACCAGCTTAGACCAGACCAGACCAGTTTAGACCAAACCAGACTATTTTAGGCTGGTTTAGACCAGCCCAGACTAGACCATTTCGAATCTGTTTATCTACTTTAAAATCTACTTCTTTTTCCTCATTCTTTGTTCTTTCAAAGTTCTTTACTCTTTCCACCCGTTATATTAATAAATTTTTATACTTTATACCTCTACCTATTAAAGAAGAGGATGAAATCTAAATAGATCTAGTGAGTAAGAACTTTATTTTGTGGAACAGAAGATATAGAATCAAATTGTATAGGAAGTTAATGTTGGAAATATTTTTTTTTAAAAGCATTTACCTCCCAACAATGATGAAAAAGATTCATCTTATATAATTGAAAGTGATGAAGATTTTGAAATGGAGATGCTTAAGGTATGTTTGAAACTAAGAAAAAGGTACTTCAATTTTTTTTCTGAAGAACTCTTTAAATAACAAAAATATAACCTAATTCTGAATTATGTGCCACCACAGTGAAATTAATCCCATTATTTAATATTAGACTTAAAATTTTTTCCAGTTGCTATTTCCTACTATGGTCTATCAGTTGTGTTTTAGATTTACTGAATTCTTTTCATACATGTTCTGTATCCTTTGTTATGTCACTTTCTTTATAATTGTTCAACTGTGCTCTGTTTTATTACTGAAGTTGAAAGTAGTACTTAATAATTTGTGCATTTCCTACCCATTAACTCAATCTCCAGTTTGTCAAGTGTTACGAACTACAGATGGATAGGAAAAACGAGACTAGGGAATGTAACTCAGTGGAAGAGTGTGTGTTTAGCATGTATAACATCCTGGTTTTAGTATCTAGCAAACACACAGGAAAAAAAAAAAAAAGAATGGAAAGGCACAGTCATTGTAGCTCAGTTACATGAGTGAGAAGTGTGCTGTTTATAACACTTATCAGTTTTAGAGCCGTGTGACTTTTTTCCTTTTTATGAAATGAAAGTAATTTTCTAATTCTTTAGTTGTGACTCCTGGTCACAACTTGCAGAAATAATAAGAACAAAGATTCTGAATTCATCTGTGGATTTGAATCTTTCTTTTTACATTGATTATTCATTGCTTATATTAGAGTTTAGTACAGAGCCTGGCATTCAGTAAATATGTAATAAACATGAACTAAATCATAATTTATCTCTCTGATGTATAGTATTCAAGTGGTACATGTATGGGATTCTTGTGGACTTCTACAAACATATTGTATATTAAATCTCTTAGAAGGCAAACTTTATGTCAGTATTGGGCAATCCTGCTTGTATAGTGCTCTCTGAATGTTTGTAGACTTAAAGAAACAATCACTTGGGTTTTTTTTTTTTTTTCTTTTTCCTTTTACAACACTGAAATGAATGTATTTTTTTAAAAAATTCTTAAAGTTAGTAAGGATAACAAATGGAAGGCTTAATAAAAAATGAAAATAAGAACTGTGATTTAATAAATCTTTCATGCTACTCCATAGTATAAAGTTTTATAGATAAAATAATTTTGAAATATACTAATATTTTTAAAATAGGTAATTTCGTTTAGTGGAAAAATCAGATATAATGCCAAAATAAAAATAGCTTTACTTCACATATGAAGTATTTCCTGAAATTATTTGAAATCTTATTTTTTCTGTTTTGACAGTTCCAAAACACATTTATTGCTTGCTTATAATTTAAGCATCATCTTTACTCAAGAAGAATGTGACTGATATGTGATAATGAAACTCATTATTAAAAATAACATTAAAATCCACAAATTTCACTTGGGAATTGATAGCATTGAAATTCAGTAAAGGAAAAAATCTTTTAAGTTATGCAAATTGAAAATTTATAAAAGATTTCCCCAAGGGCAGTTCATTATATGCTATTAATGAACCTTGTTTATGCTGGAAATATTCCATCCTGGCCTTGTGCCTTGGAAACCATTCTTGAACACATATTTATAGAGAAGCACACATGTTCTTTTGTGGTATTGCTTGAACATCTGCCAGCTTTGAACAAAATTGTGGGCTTTGTTAATAATACTCTTTTTGTGTTTGGTGAAAAAGATACGATATTGTCAGTGGTTTTGCTTTCAAATTTTCTTTTAAACTTTCAGTCTTTAGAAAACCTAAATAGTGGCATAGTAGAACCAACTCATTCTAAATGGTTAGAAATGGAAAGCAATGTAAGTCTTCCTACTGAGGAAGAAGATGAAGATAAAATTGAAGCCATTGAAGAGGAGGAGGAAGATGAGGGTAAGCATGGAAATGTGTTTGAAACTACTCACCTTTTTCCTTTGGGGCTCACCTTTTCAGAGTTTTGAATGTTAAGGATTTTGTGGTATATAGTTAATTATTAGGTCTATAAACTTGCCCTTTAATTCCTTAGTGCTCTTGTGTCCATAGAGTATAATCTGCTGTTTATAAAAAATAACTAATAGGACTATCATTCTGTGAATGTGGTGAATGAAGTCTTTTATCCTTGACCTGTGTACTATGTTTGGGACTTAGTGACAGTGAAAAAATAATTTTCTAATTGCTTGTACAGGAGATCATTGTAGATAACATGGATATATGCACTCTGTTCTTCAGGAGCTATATTATTTAAACAATTATAGTATCCAGGATCTTTAATAAAGAATATATTAAATGAACACACTATGACTTAAGTATAAATAATCTCTCTATTCATTTTGTTAAATTGTGGGGACTTTGCAAAAAGTGAACTCTCACTAGACTTAGACTGCATTATTATATGAAAAATGTGGAAATTTTAAAGCATTTTGTAGGTGGAAGGTATGTATGAATATTCTAAGCAGATGCTTCCTTTCCCCTTCACTTTCTTGTATCAGGTGCAGCCATGATTTGTCCATATCTGTTTTATTTTATATTAGACTTGTTAAAGATGAGAAATATAATAATTATTTCTTATGTGTTTAGTGATAATTACCTTGATTCTTTGTTTTATCCTTTCTTTCTTACACTGAATCTTTTAATGTCAGAATGGATAGTGACTGTCACTTTGGTAGAGCTAGCATAGTAATTTTGTTGTGCTGTGTAATTAGAATTTTGGTTAAAGTTTTAGGTAACTAAGTTAATCTAACTAATTGGATAATTAACTTAGATTAAGGTAACTAGATTGAGGTAACTAGATTTAGTTTTAGGAAACTAAAATGAAGATTTTGTTTTGTCTGTATACTTAATTTGTGACACTAATGATAATTTGTATTTACTACTCACTGAAAGTTGGTAGTTCTATAAAATCTCTATTAGCGTATTGCCTGCTTTGGTTTTTTTCTGGTTGTTAGATCCTACAAGTATACCCAACTTCAAAATGCTGTGTGGTTTCCTTTTTTACAGTCTTGGTAAAATATGACTCACTATAAAATCTAGTATTTTATTGGTAATCAATATTGCCTTGAGTCATGGTTGGTGCCTGGAGGACCTAATTTGACTAGAAGTGAGTGAATTAAACCTGCCCATCACTACAGTCTCTGTAGGAAGCTAATGAAAGCAGCCTTCCCTTCTCTTATGTGGTGGTTGGTTGTTTTTGGTCTTTTTGGTTCCAGCTGTCCTGGAACTCACTGTGGTGACCAGGCTGGCCTTGAACTCACAGAGATCTGCCTGCCTCTGCCTCCCAAGAGCTGGGACTACAGGAGTGTGCCACCACGCCCAGCTTTGTGTGGTGTGCTTGTATTTGGACAAAAATAACAATGCTTTTATCTTATTTTTTTTTTAAGACCATTTATTGCCAGAACCTAATGCAAAGCAAGTTATTTGTCTCAAGACCTACTTTGGCCACTGCAGTTTTAAACCGTAAGTATAATGTCAATTAATTAAATTACATAGTTACTATTTTCTTCAGGAAGGAAAATAGGTAAATAGTTCATTTAGCAGTAGCAGGTACCCTCCCTGTAGTCACACACGCCGGTGTGTGTCTTATACGTGACTACTAAACGATGTTGAGGTAGCAATTATAGAAAATTTCCATGTTCTTTCAGTAAGCAGGGAAGCATGTTTTTTTCTTTACCTGGGTGATGCTATGTAGAAATGAGTTTAAAGGTGTTAATGAATTTTCATTTTCTGCTAATTTATATTTCATTAAATAAGCATCTTTGTGCCTATTTTGTGTATTCTGTTTCCTGAAGCATATTAATAAAAGTTTGCAACCTAATAGTTTGCAGGACAATGGTTCTTTTATCTATTTTAACATACCTTCAAAAATGTATTTACATCTAATGGGCACACTTATAATTAGAAAAATGAGATGAATAAAAATGAGATTGGGAATGGGTAAAATTGAGTAAGACCAGTAAGAAAGTAAAAATTTAGACTGGATTTTCACAGTTTTGAGAATTTCAAAATAGAGTATTTTGAAGACTTTTTAAAAACTTTCAATTTTAGAATTTAAATTGAAAATATATTCTACACACAGAAAAGTGTACACAGGCGTATAGAGAATTAAATGCTTATAAACTCAGTGTCCTCGGGAAATAGTGCTTAAAATAAGAATAGGTTGTTATCAGCATAGGAGATCATGTCTCCATTTATTTTTTTTCTTGGTATTTTATTGAGTTTCTAAGGTACAGTGATGGTGAAATGTGTTATTATTATTTACTGTGGATGCCTATATACCAACCACCTAGATTCTACTGTTAACGTTTTGTTCTTGTTTTATCACATATCCATCCATCTGTCTCTATCCTTACTCCATCAAAATTTTAAAATGTACTCTGGGGTCAATGGTGGACTTTACTGTTCTTCTATCTAAATGTACATTTCTATGTAATTTAAATCCTTATCAAGATAAAGAATATTACAATCACTTTACAGAGTCCTCATTTCAAACTTGGAACATTTCTCTTATTTATTTTATAATATTGATTCTTCTGTATATGAAGCTTGTGATTTATTTTATGCTTTAGCTATATATAATAAAATTTAATACATATACCAAATGAGAATTTAGTTCGTAAGTCAGCCTGAATGAGAGGGTGCTTAAATGGTATTTGTCTTTGTTTTAAAGTTTAAGGATTTCACATATTTATCTAGGAAGTTTAAAAACAATATCAAGGAAATGTTATTAGATAGAGGAAGGAATTAAATATGTTAACTTGTGCATTGGATTTCTTATTAACAAGACATAAATGTGTTTTGCTTTTTTACCTTCAAGGGTTCAGTGGAAAGTTATTCACTCTGTATTGGAAGAAAGAAGAGATAATGTTGTTGTCATGGCAACTGGTAAGTTATACTTAAATAAATAACTTAATCGTTAAGAAAAGTCTTACATTCTTAAAGTGCCTATTCAAAATATAAGTGGTGTAAAATACAGATGAGAGCTGGACGTGGTGGCACATGGCTTTAATCCCAACACTAGGGAGGCGGAGGCAGAGGGGGCTCTGTGAGTTCAAGGCCAGCCTGATCTACATAGTGAGTTCCAGGACAGCTGGGCCTTCAGGGAGACTATCTCAAAAACAAAGACCAAAAAAAGAAAAAAAAATACAGAAGAAAGTGATTTGGGATAAATGTTTAAATTTAATATGTGAATTACCCTTTAGGCAGATGTTAGTTCTAGTTATTCAGCTATATAAACATACTGTAAGAAGAAATGAAAACATTAGGAATTTATTTTTTTATGTATGTGTTGTTTTTATTTCTAGGATATGGAAAGAGTTTGTGCTTCCAGTACCCACCTGTTTATGCAGGCAAGGTCGGCATTGTTATTTCTCCTCTTATTTCTTTGATGGAAGACCAAGTTCTGCAGCTTGAGTGAGTACAGTTTTCATTGCGACAGCATTGCCCCTCTGAAGTTTTCTTTCTCTTTTGTTTTTGATATGGTTTTGCTATGCAGACCAGGCTGACCTTAAACTCACAATCCTTTTGTTAAAGCGTCCCAAGTGCTTGATTTATAAGCATGAGCCACCGTGCCCAGCGGCCTTCCTTTTTTATTCTGTGAATGAAACATCAGATTAATCTTTATTATTAATTTTTAAATGATGTTTAATTTATTATTAATCTAATATTAAAATCTAGTTCACAATAATATGTTTTTGGGAGTGACTTTGTTCTTTTCTGTTTTTATTTTTTTGAAATAGGGTCTCACTATGTATAGTTCAGGATGGAGTCAAATTCTGTCCTCCTGCCTTAGCCTCCACGTGCTGGATTACAGACCTGCACTACTGCACCTGCTGCAGCAGTAAACGACGTGTTCATAGAGGAACTTAAGTTTTTCCTTGAGTTCTTCAATTCAGGGCTACCAGATTGCCTTGATGAATTTTTCTTTATAAAGATTTACTGCTTAGTTTTAATTTATAATGATTGTCTTAGATTCTTTACATCTTCTGCTCCCTGGGCTCTGTAGCTTGTTATGAAGGGTATATGTAAAAGTTTACTTTTTATCTATGAAAAACTTCAGTTATGTCAACATGAGCTTTCACATATTTTGGAAGACCCCACCTTAAAAACCTGTCTTCTGATAATGGCTCTTGAAGGAATTTATCAAATTAACAAGATAGAAAAAAAGACAGAGCAGGGGACTGGTGAGCTAGCTCAGCAGTTAGGAGCACAGGCTGCTCTTGCAGAGGACCTGGTTCTATTCCCAGCACCTACGTGATGTCTAACAACGGTCTGTAACTCCAGTTCCGGGCAATCCAATGCCCTCTTCTGCAGCCGTGGCATGGGTGCACTCACATACATGCAGGCAAAACACTCATACACAGAAAACATAATAAATAAAATATTTTTTAAAGAAAGAATATTATAAATAAGAGGAATATATATTATTTCTTTATTCTGTCTTAAGAATGAAGTTAATGTTTTTGGTGTTTATGGTGCTCCAGAACATTTGTTTTTCTTCTTCTAGAATGTCCAACATTCCAGCTTGTTTCCTTGGATCAGCACAGTCAGAAAATGTTCTAGGAGATATTAAATTGTGAGTAATTTATACAGTTTCAGATCATGTTGTAAGATGTGTATGACACGACAGAATTTTGTACATAAAATTATTTATTTAAAATATTGGTAAAATGTTTATATTTGAAAACATAACTTACTACAGTGCTTTTTAAATTAGAGCTGTTATCTTTCCAACTGAAATATGTCTTTTATTTTAGGTTTCATCTGTAAGACTGCTATTGTAGTTTGGAATTATGAAATTTTGCTTTTGGAAGAGAATTTAGAGAGAGTCTCTGTCTCACCTTACAGATTAAGAAAATGAGACCAAAGACAAATAATTTGCTCAGAATTTGTGGCTGAGCCAGGACTGGAACATTGGTCTCTCGTTCCATTAATTCTTTCATGAGCTAATTCTTAAGAATGTCTCAGACATATCCAAACATATAGACATGTACTAATGTATACAGTGCGTTTACTGAGTTTCGAGATGGGCATACACATAACTCAAAGCCTTTATACATGACTTGGTGGATAAGAGGGCTTGTACTGAAAGCATGAGGACCTTAGTTTAGAGTCCCTAGCACCTGTGTAAAATGCCTGTAAACCCAGCATTGAGTGGCAGAGTCAGGTGGATCCAGGGAGCGAGCACCCTGGCAGGTCAGCCAGACTAGCCAAACTGGTGTTGTGAGCTATTTTTGGTTCGGTGAGAGACAGTGTCTTATCTCAAGCCAGTAAGATAGAGAACAAGAGAGGAAGACACCTGGCATCCTGCTCTTGCTTCTGTGTGCATGGGCACTGGTGTGTGCACCTGTACCACACATACACATGCACACACGTGTAATATTGTCACTCTAGAAAGTTATTACATATGTATTTCCAGTCCATCCTTTACATTTTTAGTTTTGTGTAAGCCATTTACATTCAACTCCATGTTCTTGAGATTCCTACATGTTACTGCATTTATCAGGGTTTTTTTTTTTTGTCATTTAAAAGGTATTTCATTGTATGGATACTAGTTTATTTATTTTTTATTTTTTAAATTTTTCTGTTTTTAAAATTTTTTTAAAATTTTATGTGTATGCATGTATTGCCTACATGTAGGTAAGTGCCCCCATGTCGTGCAATGCCTGTGGAGGACAGAAGAGGCTGTTGGATCCACTGGGACTGGAGTTACAGACAGTTGTTAGCTGCCATGTGGGTGCTGGGATTCGAACAACCAGTGTTCTTAACCACTGTGCCATCTCTCCAGCCCCACTAGTTTATTTTTATATTTTCGCATTCATAGATGCCTAAGCTATTTGTTGTGGGGCTGTTACAAATAAAGCTGATGAAAACAACTGTTTTTGTGAATATCTGTATTGGTGTTTTGGAAAATGTTCATTACCTTTATTGACATACAGTAAATGTATGTTCTGAGAATGCATAATTTATAAATGTTCATCTATACCTACAAACCATCATCACAGCCCAGACAATGAACATATTTATCACTTACAAAGTTTAACATCTTACCTATTTCCTCCCATTTCCTTGTTTTTCCTATCAGTAACTGTTGATCTACTTTCTGTCAGTATAAATTAGTTTGCCTTTTCTAAAATTACATGTAAGTGGAGTCAATCATATAGTATATATTTATTTTTGTTTTATTTAAATAATGAGACATAATTATTTGGGACTTCACCTATGCTATTAAATTTGTTAATAGCTCATTCCTTTTATTACCAAGTAGATTGCATTATGTGTATATATTACAATATGTTTGTCCATTCATTTGCTGATAGATACTTGGATTGTTTCCATTTGGGGGATATGACTGAATAGGTCATATATTGTGTGGCTATATGCTTAACTTTTTTCTTTTAATTGAGATTAAAATTACATAACATTAAAGCTCTAAAGATTTCGTATGGAAAAATACTTTTCATTTGATCTGTTTTTATTTTGTAGAGTGAAAACTTTACTAGCAAATGAAAATAAGTAGTTTAAACAACAGTGATTTAAAAAAATTTTTTAAAATTTCTTTTTATTTCATATGTATGAGTGTTTTGCCTGCATGTGTACCTGTGTCATGCAATGCCCACAGAGGCCAGAAAAGGGTTTCAGATCCTCTGAAACAGGAGATATGTGTGGTTATTAGCTGCCCTGTGGGTGTTGGGAGCTGAATCCTGGTCCTCTGCAAGAGCAGCCAGTGCTCTTGACCACTGAGCCATCTCTCCAGTCCCCAAACAGTGATTTTTATATTAAGGATAAAAGACTGTATCATGGCTGCCTCTGAGAGAAGCTGGGGTTTGACCCTTCTTAGTACAGCCTCTTGTCTTTCTTGTCACCAAGTAGAAGATGGCTGCTCTGCCACTCCTTTCTTTACATATCACACTGTTGGTTGATTCTTGGTCAAGTGTCCATACTTTAGGACAGGTGTTGGTTGGCTTGCCTTTGACACAGTGTCTGTCCCTTACCCAGTAAGTTTTAACAAGGTAACAGAATATATAAAATTAAAAAAGGATATTGAGGTCTTATCATGAGTGAGCAGGGAGTCTGGGTTTTAGTTCTCAGAGGTGGGTGATATGGAGGTGAGATAGCGTGAAAAGTTTATGAAAGTCTGGTCATTAATTCAGCATTTTGTTTTGGGACTAGATTGCTAGAAATCTAGCAGTACTAGAAGTCTAGCTTGTAGTATCACCTCAGTGCTGAATGCTCCCTGGCAGACATTGCCGTATTTTATTTTGATGTGTCAAAGAGAAATCAAAGAACAAATACATGTGAATATATGGACATATATAACATTCATTTTTTATATTGTAGTAAGTTTCCTTTCCTGTTTCTTTTTTTGTTTGTTTGTTTGTTTTTCTTTCAGAGGGAAATACAGGATTGTATACATAACTCCAGAATTCTGTTCTGGTAACTTGGACTTACTCCAGCAACTTGAGGCTGATATTGGTAAGTAACAAAGTAGGACATTTGTAAATATGAAGTTAAACCTGTGGTTAGAGACTAGATTTCACTTCTGTTAAAGTTTATTTCAAACATTGACTTCTCTAGGAAATCTCTGACCAACTTGGTGTTTCTCCCATCTTATAATATCCTGTATTTCCCTTTCCGTAGAGACTGGGCTACTGGCTTATAATTTGTATGTATGTCTCTGTTTTCTTCTGTTATACTATGCACCCTTGAGAGACAAATACTATTAGTTATTTCTGTTTCCTGAGTTCAGGAGTTGTTAGTACATTGTTATATATTTAAACATGTCTTTTACTGAATGTTGAATCCTAGATTCTGTGAAATTACAGTTTATCTTTTTTTATATTCTGGATCTAAATTAAATCAGTGTAGAGTTTTTTAATTCATGTTCATAAGAATCACCTTTCACTGGGCAGAGTGGCACATGGCTTTAATCCCAACACTGGGGGGAGGCAGAGGCAGGCAGATAGCTTTGAGATCAAGGCCAGCCTGGTCTATATGGTAAGTTCCAGCCCAGCTGGGGCTACACAGAGACTCTGTCTCAAACAAAAAAATAAACAAGACTACTATCCTCAGGCCTCTTGGGGTAAGTCTATAGTGCAGCTCTCCGCGCTGGGACTCCCTAAGCCACATTCACCCTTCCATCTCCCCCATGCGTCGTTCTATACTCCTAGTTTGAGCCCTGCGCCACTCCTAGTCTTGGGGCCGCAGACACCTGGGAAACCAATACTGCTTCCTGACCCTTCTCACCCAGAGCAACCCAGTCCCTTTCTTGGGCTCCAGGAGCACCACTTCTGGTCCTGGCCCTGCCCTCACCTCGCTCTGCTTCCCTGGGCCTGCACCACCGGCTAACTCTCCTAGCCTGCACTACTATCCTCAGGCCTCTTGGGGTAAGTCTATAGTGCAGCTCGCCGCGCCGGGACTCCCTAAGCCTCATTCACCCTTCCACCCCACCCACCACCCCCCTGCCCCCCCGCCTGGCATTCTATACTCTAGCTTGGACCCTGTGCCATTCCTAGTCTTGGGGCCCCAGACACCTGGGGAACCAATACTGGCAGTCAGTAGCAGGGATATCAGAGTATAAGGGCTCTAGTTGGGGGAGGGAGGCTATGGGAGGGTGCTATCTGGGAAGTGGGTGTATAAATAAATTTAAAAAAAAATAATTCTGCTCCTAGCCTGCACTACTATCCTCAGACCTCTTGGGGTAAGTAGATAGCGCAGCTCTCTGCGCCGGGACTCCCTAAGCCTCATTCACCCTTCCATCCCCCCGACCGCCGTTCTGTACTCCTAGTTTGGGCCCGCCCACCGTTCTATACTCCTAGTTTGGGCCCTGCACCATTCCTAGTCTTGGGGCCCCAGACACCTGGGGAACCAATACTGCTTCCTGACCCT